GGTGAAGCTTCTCGAGGAGAGTAGGCTTATGCTCCTTCTCTGCTTCCTCTTCGTGGCTCGCCACAAACGCCGGTGGTTCGGTGAGAGTAGGGTTATGTTCCTTCTCTTCTTTTTCCTCGTGATGGTGACGAATCTGTTCGAGGAGAGTAGGTTTATGTTCCTTCTCTGCTTCTTCTTCGTGGTTCGCCGGTGGTTCTGAGATCTGAGCCTTGTGCTCGAACTCAGACTCGATCGGTGTCGTCTCTTGAGGTTTCACTTCTTCTTTTTTCTTCAAGAAATCGAACATTCCACGTTCCTTAACCTCTCCAGTCGTCGCTGATGATTCCTCAGTGGTGTCGATCTTTGGGGTCGTCTCGTTCTTGAACTCTTCAGGAGCGTTCTTGTACTCTTCTGCCATAGTTAGCTCTGAGTCGATTGAGAACAGAAAACAAAAAATCAAATTTAGATTGAGCTTTTTTAGATTTGTGTTTAAAGGTGAATTATGAAGAAGAGCTTGTGATGAGTCTTGTGAAGAGAGAAGAGAGAGTGGCGTTTTATAGTGTGAGGAGGAGGAGGGTCCAAGCCAACGCGGAGGTCACGCTGTAAAGATTTTAATTTATTTTAATTTTAATAAATAGAAAGAATTGAGATTATTTCTTTAAATTGCAGAATGATCCCTTTTCTTTAAGTCGGTGGACGAAATATCATTAATCCATCTTTTCTTTTTTCTTAATTTAAAGGATATTATATGTTTTTAAATAATATGGATGAAGAGTTAACTATATTATATGAGATATTTTATAGTCATGTACTTTTTAGCTTTGGGGAGCTGTATAGAAGTTTGGTTGCGTGGTCGAAGAACATCCTCTTCTAATTTATTAATTTGATTGCATATTATAAAATGATTAATACTAGATAACAGATATATAAGTATATAACTAAATAGTTTAATGTTTTTTTTTGGTGAATGTTTGTTACAATTTTTTAAGTAAAAATAAGTGATTTTTTTCTTGTTGAATGTTTAAATTTTGGCTTTTTTGTCTCTTTACATAGCTGTTGTATTAATTTTGATAAGTATGCGAACTAAATATAGAATTTCGTTATATGTAG